CAGCAATGGAAAGCTCATGAGGAGGTAAAAAGTCTACTGAGGGATCAGTGGTCGTTGGCCCATAAGTTTAGCTAAAAACCAGCAGGTTGGTGCAGGCAGCAGACAGCCAGGCAAGCACATCTAAAGATGTCCTGGGATTAACTAAGAAAGGGAGAAGAAGGTCACAAGAACCATCATTCATGGAGGACGCCCAATGACTACTGCTTCTATCCAGCAATGGAATGCTCTGGCTAACTCAGTGCTTCCCCTTTATAAGGATTTCTATAATAGTAGAGGTTGTCCCACCAAGTTTGACCAAATTTGGAACCCGTGGTTAAAGCACTCAGATACTATTACGGACCTGTGTGTGTGACTGCCCCCCCGAGCTTCTTTTTCCCATGGTGTTTTGAGCCCAATTTCTTATCTCACTGGGAGTGATACTCCTAACCGCGTCTCTCTTCAAGAGACGTCGTACCGCTACTCATTTTACAGCCTTTTATCTTCTCCTTGTGTGGAAGCTTGGAGTTCTGTCATATCTCATTGAGTCACTTGGGTTGATCGCATTGTGCTTTCTGATTATGTTCTACCACAAGGCCTTTTGGTGCCCCATAGCTGGTAGCTGAAGCACCCAATATGAGACTGCATTAAAGGGAAACATTAGAGGTTTTTTGGTTTTCTTTTTTTGATTGTGGATTTTGTATTTGTCTGGCAGTGGTTTATGCTACTGCCCATTTGTTGTAATTTTGAAATTTCAATAAAAATCATTTTTTTTTTTTAAATGTCAATTGCCTGGCTCACCCATAGCTTCAATGCTATCGGACCCAAAACAAATATGCACATCAAGAATTGTGACTTTACTGGCTGCCTGCTGCATGTTGAGGTCAGCAATGGGAGCTTCTATATTTCTCTTAGTACCAGTTTCCTTAGCATATTATTATTATTATACAGTATTTATATAGCGCCAAAAGGTTTGCTGAGCGCTGTACATTATAGTGGGGGACAGTACATGAGACAATACAGTAACAAAACAAAACACGAGGGGTTCGAGGGCCCTGCTCCTTGTCCTTGGAGCTTACAATCTAGGAGGGAGGGGATAGTGGTACAGGAGGAAGTGGCTGTGGGGGATGAAGTGGTAGGAAGAGTGGAGGAGATCGCCTGTTAGGTGAGGGTGGGGTAGGCTTCCCTGAAGAAATGGGTTTTCAAGGTGCGCCTAAAGGTGAGTGGGGTAGGTGACAGTCTGATGGATTGGGGTAGTGAGTTCCAGAGGATGGGGGAAGTCCTGGAGAAGTCCTGCAGTCGGGAGTGGGAGGAGGAGACCAGGGAGCTAGAAAGTAGGAGGTCTTGTGAGGAGCGAAGAGTATGGGAGTGAACAAGTTGTTTAGTAGTGTCTGGGGTTAGGAACGTACGTATTTTGGAGATGTTGCGGAGGTGGAGCCTGCATGAGTTTGCCAGCGACTGGACATGGGGTTGGAAGGACAGGTTTGAGTCTAGAGTGACACCTAGGACTTTGGCTTGCGGGGTAGGACTGATGATGGTGTTGTTGGTCGTGATGGAGAGGAAGGGGGGGGGCGGGCTGGGGGGAAAATTAGGAGCTCGGTTTTGGAAAGGTTCAATTTGAGGAGATGGAGCGACATCCAGTCTCATATGTTGTTCAGTAGGTGGGTAATACGGGTGGAGACTGAAGGAGTGAGGTGAGGGGTGGAGAGGTGGAGAGGCATGACTTCGGCGTAGAGGTGATAGTTGAAGCCGTGGGAGTGTATCAGTTTGCCGAGGGAGGAGGTGTAGATGGAGAAGAGAAGGGGCCCGAGGACAGAGCCTTGGGGGACCCCAACAGAGAGGGGGAGAGAGGGGGAGGTGCTAGCATTATAGGTAACGCTGAAGGAGCGTTGGGATAGATAGGAGGAGAGCCAGGAGAGTCTCTAATGCCACGGGAGTGTAGTTTATTAAGGAGAAGGGGGTGGTCAACTGTGTCGAAGGCCGCGGAAAGGTCGAGGAGTAGGAGGACTGAGTAGTGGCCATTAGCTTTGGCGGTTAGCAGGTCATTAGTGATTTTGAGTAGGGCGGTTTCCGTGGAGTGTAGGGGACGCATATCATTTTGGATGGAATGACCCATACTAATACATTACTAACACTGAAATCTTTTTTCAGCTGCTTTACAAAATCACAAGCAGTTCATGTTGAAAAAGAAATTTAAGATTCAGGGGAAGCTGCATACATCCCATACGTGCTGTGAAATGCTGGAGATCCGATATACTGAACTATTTATCACCGATGAAGATCCCATGGGGTTGCCAGGAGAACATGAGTATTTTGTGTTGGCCAACCGAAGAGCTCGCATCTATGAACATAACAGGCATCAAAAAATCAACCTTGCAGATATTTTCTCCACTCTGGATGCAGGGTGTAATGGTCCAAAGAAGGTTCTGGTCACTGGGATAGCTGGGATTGGAAAGACATCTGCCATGCAAAGACTTTTGTATGAGTGGGCAATTGGGAAAGCCTTCAGCAACATCATTTGTGCTGTTAATTTTGTATTCCGGGAGCTGAACTTGTTCGAAGAACCCTTAAGTCTTCTAGACCTACTAAAACAATACCATCCTCTACCGAATGATATTTCTGAGGATCTCTGTAAGCACCCCCAGAGATTAATGGTGGTCCTGGATGGGCTGGATGAATTTAGGCATTCGTTAAATGATGGGACTTTGATGAAAAGTCTCAGGGATCCAGCACCTATTAAAGATTTAATTTACAGCCTATTGAAAGGCTCTCTTCTGCCAGGGGCATCTATCGTGGTGACCAGTAGACCACGGCCATACCTTCCTTTGGAGGCTTTTGATCGAAAAGTTGTCATCTTAGGCTTTGAGGAAAGCCAAGTGAAGGAATTTTGTTTCAGGATCTTTAGAGAAGAGGTGATATCGGAGGAAGTATTTCAGTATATTATAAAAAAATGATACTATTTCAGGACTTTGCTTCATTCCTCTGTATTGTTTTATCATTTGCTCTGTGCTAGGTCCTTTCTTTCAAAAGAAATCATTGTGTCTCGAGGAGCCTCCGGAGACTATGACTGAGGTCTACCGTTCCTACCTTTGCACTCTCTTGCATTTGAGAGACAATTCATCAGAAGAGGAGAATGTAACAGGAGAGCCTATTGTACTTTGCTGTCCACCCATTGCATCTTCTATGAAAGAGACCCTTTATCAGCTTGGAAATCTAGCTTACCATTGTTTGCTGGAAGGCAAGATCTTATTGAGTAAGGCAGATTTGCAAAAATTTGGTTTTGACCATATCAAAGCACCAGACACCTTCATGGACAGAATACTTGTCCACGTGGATGGTGAAACCAAGTCTGAAATGTTTGCCTTCTTCCATATGACTGTTCAGGAGTTTTTTGCTGCACTCTATTGTGTCATGTCCATCGGTTCCTCTCCAGAGGAGCTCTTCCAGTGCCTTGATCTCTGGTGCTTTGGATGTTCTCCTGCTAACCCAATCCAAAGTCAGCTCCTGTCCACCACCATGGAATCTATGATACCAAATCGTTGGGAGAACCTACAAATGTTCACCAGATTCTTCATGGGCCTTCTTTGTTATAGGATTAAAGGAAAATTAAAGGGACTGGTAGGTCCATTCAAAAATGACCTCCTGGAACCTCTGAGCAACTGGTTTACAGAGAAAATAATGTATGAAGTTAACCAGCGGCTCCTGAATCTCTTGCATTGCCTAAGGGAATTACAACAAGAGTCCGTTGTGAAAGCGGTTGCTCCCATGATAGATGAGGTCAACTTATTCAGAGTGATATTGAATCGTGCAGACTGTGCCACCTTGAGCTATGTACTGCAACACTCCAACAGCAGACTGAGGACCTTTAACCTTGGCTATACAAATATCGGCATCCAGGGGTTGAAAAGGCTTCAACCTCTTCTTCATCGTTGCCAAACACTATAGTAAGTACAACCCTCATTCCTTTTAGGTTTGGACACGGCTGCTCTTAGAAATCATGGGACCCCATACAGCCAACCTGACAGGGCCCCCCAAAAAACACAGTTCAGTTATGAATGAACACAGTGAGTGATCGCTACCGTGTTAATTCAGGAAAGGAAGGGGCTGGGGTAAATGCAACATATTTACCGGACCCTTCTCCCACTCTCCATCCTGAAGGATCCAATTGTGTGCTTGCAGCTGTCGTGGGGGAAGTCAGCACCACTGCAGGGGTAGCGGCATTCAGGGGGGCCTGGGCAGCGTATGGTGCACAGAGAGTGTGATGGGTGCAGCAGGAGCGGCAATTACTAAAACCTGTATGGGTCTCTCTGTAGCAGCTGAAAGCCAGCAGGATGGAGAGGAGAAGAATGCAGCTTTCAGCTGTTGCAGAAAGAGACATACAGGGGTCCATTCCATGAATTGCCTTCCCCCCGCCATGCCAATCACCCTCCCTGCCCACACCCGGTTCATCCAGCTGCCTGGGCCCTCCTGCTGGCCTGGGCCCTGTACAGGAGGCCTGGTGGTACCCCCTTATCCACGGCCTGGGTTTGGATTACATAGTGGAATACACATGACAGAGTTTGAAGGTGTAGCCAACTCGACTTTTACATTTTACATCGACTGGTAATTGATTAGAATCTCTGTTGGATCCTGGAGGAGGATCTTGTATTCTGTGGATCCTCAGTGGAGGAGAATACGTATCTGGCAGAACTTTATTTGCTCCTGCCATTGAGATAAAAGCTCTTCCCGCAAGGGTCAGCAATGTAGAAGGTGAGTTGGGTATTTTTTGCTGTTCCCATTTTCTTTCCTTCAAGATTCTTAGAAGAGCACCAGCATGAGTGTCATCAATTTGACACTTTTTCATGGGAAGTTTGCACAGAAACTGGCATCACAATTTAATTTATTGTAATTAATATTTTATTTAAGGTTTACTCATTATGCTGAATTACAAAATCACTTTTTAGAGCTTAAGAGGTATTTTTGTTCATCACTATATCACCAGGGACACTTTAAATGCATATATGAAGATACTAAACACTAGTTTTTGCATTTACTATATCTGGTATTTGCACTGCTTAAGAGGTTTACTTGTGTTTATCACTATACCCCAGGGACCCTGTATTCATATATGGGGATATTCCACTAGACTCTGCATTTATATTGGTTAATAAGTGTCCCCGGACCCTGCATTCACTATATCTGGTCTCCCCGGACCCTGCATTCACTATATCTGGTCTCCCCGGACTTTCTTGCATCCTCACTATTGAGTCAAGAAGTGTATACATTCAAACTATATCAGGTCAGTCCCAGAACCTCTGTTGGGTATTTTATCCAGTCTCCCCGGATTTTCTGCATTCACTATCCGGTCTCTTAGGACACCCTGCATTCACTTTATATCCAGTCTCCCAGTGGAAATCTGCAAAGGTTCACTCATCCCTATGCTGTCCCCAGAAAGTCTGCATTAGACTGGATATCCGCTCTCCAAATGCAAACACTTCTGCAAATTCACTACATACGCTACTCCTGGACCCTGCATTCACTATATCTGGGTCTCCCCGGACCCTGCATTCACTATATCTGGTCTCCCCGGACTCTGCATTCACTATATCTGCTCTCCCCGGACCCTGCATTCACTATATCTGCTCTCCCCGGACCCTGCATTCACTACAGTTGCAAGAAAAAGTATGTGAACCCCTTGGGATTACGTGGAGTTTTGCATGAATTGGGCATAAAATGTGCTCCCGAACGTCATCTAAGTCACAACAATAGAAGAACACAGTCTGCTGAACATAATACTACACAAACATCTGGTTGCCCCGGACCCTGCATTCACTATATCATGTCTTCCCGTGCAGAGACCCTGCAAAAGTATGTGAGGCCCTAGCTTAATATCTTCTCCCAGAGCCTGCATTCATTGGAGCCAGGAGTGAGCCAACCTGACTTCAATAGTGTGATGATCCCCGGACCCTGTTGCTGACAGCTGTCCCCGCCCTTAAAAAACACTATACCTGTTTTCCCCGGACTGGTTTCAAGGAGCACTGTCTGATGTGAACCCTGCATTCACAGAAATCTGAGTCTCCCCGAAGACCTACGATTCAAGAATTGTTGACTTGCAAGAAGCTGGAAAGGGTTACAAAAGTATCTCCCCGGCCCCGATGTATCATGTGTCTCACGGTAAGACAGACTGTCTTCACTAATGGAGAAAGTTTAGCACCCTGTTGCTACTCTCCCTAGGCTGGTCGTCCTGTAAAAATGACTGCAAGAGCACAGTGCAGAATGCTGCATGAGGTCTCCCCGAAGAATCCCAGAGTGTCCGCTAAAGACCTACAGAAATCTCTGGCACATGCTAACATTTTTGTTGATCACATCTACAATAAGGACCCACTAAATTCAAGAATAGTACATGGGAGGACACCGGAGGAAGCCATTGCTGTCAAAAAGATCTGCTTGCCCGGACGTTTGCATTGCAAAAGAGCACCTGGATGTTCCACAGGACCCTGCAAAATATACTGTGGACAGATGAAACCAACATTGAGTTGTTTGGGGACTCACACATTCACTATGTGTGAAGAAAAAAAGGCACCCTGCATTCACCATATCATCAAAACCTCATCCCCACTGTAAAACATGGCGGACCCTGCATCATGGTTTGGGGCTGTTTGCTGCCTCAGGACCTGGATTCACTAATTGTTGTCATCTCCCGGGAAAATGAATTCACTATTTATCAAGACATTTTGCAGGAAAACGTACACTGCTCTCCTGGACCCTGCATTCACTATCTGTCCGGACCCTGCCACTATATCTGAAGCTCTGCAGAGGACCCTGCATTCACTAGGACAATGACTCCAAAGCACCCAAGCAATTCAACAAAATAATGGCTCCCTGGACCAGAATTCGCTATATCTGGAGTGGCCCAGTCAGAGTCCTGACCCTGCAACCATTAAATGCTGTGGCATGACCTTAAGAGAGCCTGCATTCACCAGATATCCCAAGATTCATCTGCTCTCCCCGACCCTGAATTCACTAGTATTTGCTGAAGAGGAGTGGTCATTCACTCCATATCGTTCTCCCCTGATCTGCAAACTACAGGAAACGTACGAGGTCTTGCCCAAAGGACAACCAGTGCCATTCACATATTTTTCCTCTCCCCGCACTGTGAATTCACTATTATCTGCTTAAACCATGGAACATCTAATGTTTGTGTATATCCGTTCAGCAGACTGGTCCTTCATTGTTGTGATTAGATCCGTTCAGAGCACATTTTATGCCCAATTCATGCAAAACTCCACGTAATCCCATAGGGCTTCTCCATACTTTTTCTGCAACACTGTATATCTGCTCTCCCTGGACCCTGGATTCACTATATCTGCTCTCTCTGGACCCTGCATTCACTATATCTGCTCTCCCCGGACCCTGCATTCACTATATCTCGCTCTCCCCAGACCCTGCATTCACTATATCTGCTCTCTCCAGGACCCTGCATTCATTATATCTGCTCTCCCCGGACCCTGCATTCACTATATCCGCTCTCCCCGGACCCTGCATTCACTATATCTGCTCTCCCACAGTACACAGAACCTGGAAATGCAATTATTTTTGTACATCTAAACTGCTAAATACTTTTCTCATCAGTCCTCCCATCACATCAGAGCCCCCCTCATCACATCAGAGATCCCCCATCATGTCAGCACTCCCCCATCAGAGTCCCGCCTTCATGTCAAATTCACCTTATCATATCAGAGTCTCCCCTACACATCATAGGCCTACCTATACATGACATTAACCCCATGACAGAGTCCCCCCATCACTACTGAGTTCCCCCAATCACAGAGCACTCTCCCTCCCCATCACATAGCCCCCCCCCATCACATGCCATCCCCATCACACAGTCCCCTCTTCACATCACAGCCCTACCGTTTGGCTCCAGCAGAGGGCGGGAGGTGGAACAGGTCTGGAAGAGGCAGACTTCCATCCTTTCCTGAATGCTGGGGGCAGTCCTGCATGCCACCTGTCCTGGATCAGTGTCATGCATTGCCCTGGTGCAAGCAGGCCAGCCGCCAACACCATGACAATGAACGACATCATGTATCCAGCCTTACAGTGTCATTGGTTGTTATGGTGCTGGTGGGTGCCAAATCCGACACCATGGCAAGTCATGTCATCCCGTACTTGCCGTTCATGAACCCAAATGGCACCCTGGATGAGAAACACTGCCACAGAGCACTGAAGTGAGTTGCATTAAAAATTTGGTGGCAGGTCCAATTTTTAGGACATTTTGGTACATTGGCAGCCTTTTATGGTCAAATGGTCTTAACCACACAAATGAAGATGCTACGATGCCCTGTGTGAAGTATAGTTGACCATTTCACTCCTCCTAGACGACATTTTTGAAGCCTTTAAAGAGACCCTGTCACCAGGTCACTCAAGTATAAAAGGCATGCAACTTTTTTTTTTTTTGCTTGAAACCATGGGTGGCAGATTGCTGTGGACAACTGAAACCTTTCAAATTATTTGATAAGAAAGACCAGCAAAATTGTTTTTTACATAAAAGCAGGTTTGTGTCTAAATGGTTTTGAAGGTTATTGCACGGTTGTGGCCTCTCGGTATTTTTGGTTGTTAGCACGTACAAGCATATACTGCCTGCTGCAATGAGTTCGCCATATGTGTCAATAACCTTCTTTTATTACTATGTAGCCTGCGCTATAACTCGTTGGATAAGGAGGCCGCGGAGATCGAGGCGGATGTGCTGAAATCACCCTCGTGTCAAGTGAAAAGTCTTCTGTGAGTCAGAACGTCAATATCTGGAGGCTCTTCTAAGTATTGCCTACTTCATTCATTGGTATTCATAGTCCACTTAAAGGAAATCTGTCTTTAGTATAGCCAAGGGAGTGGATTGAAAAAGGCTCAATTTATTGTTCCTTGGAAATGAATGGAGTTATATCACAGCTGGACAACCACAGTGTAGACTACAGCATAAAGGATAAAGTGGACCTGTGCATTGCCTATGAAAGGCACAGCTACAAGTCCACTTTAAAGTACACCATATGGACCATCACACCTGTCCACTATATGACCAAAACTATATTGACAACCCTCAAAATGATTGAGTTCAGGTGTTTCCAGTGATGGGTACCGGTAATACTACAGCTTAAAAAGACATTTAGATAACCGTGCTCCTCTAAACCTTGTGGTAACAGTTTGGAGAAGGTCTTTCATAAAGACATGGTTTGAAGAGTTTGGTGTGGAGGAACTCAAGGGTCCTGCATAGAGCTCTGACCTCAACCCAACTGAACATGACAATGTACAGACACCCATCTCCATAAAGACAATGAGTACTCAGACACCTCATCTCCATATCTCCATAAAGACGTGGCTTGATGAGTTTGGTGTGGAGGAATTTGGTGTGGAGGAACTCAAGGTGACAATGTCCTGCATAGAGCTCTGACCTCAACCCAACTGAACATGACAATGTACAGACACCCCATCTCCATAAAGACATGGCTTGATGAGTTTGGTGTGGAGGAACTCAAGGGTCCTGCATAGAACTCTGACCTCAACCCAACTGAACATGACAATGTACACACACCCATCTCCATAAAGACATGGCTTGATGAATTTGGTGTGGAGGAACTCAAGTGTCTTGTTTGGAAACACTGACCTCAACCCTACTGAACATGACAATGTACACACACCCATCTCCATAAAGACATGGCTTGATGAGTTTGGTGTGGAGGAACTCAAGTCTCCTGTACGGAACTCTGACCTCAAGCCTACTGAATATGACAATGTACACACACCCATCTCCATAAAGACATGGCTTGATGAGTTTGGTGTGGAGGAACTCAAGTGTCCTGTACAGAGTTCTGACCTCAACTCTACTGAACATGACAATGTACACATATCCAGCTCCATAAAGACATAGTTTGGTGTGCAAGAACATGAGTGTCCTCCACAGAACCCTGACCTCAACCCTACTGAACACCTTTGGGATGAATTGGAATGCTACTTCTTGAGATCCAGGTCTTCTCATCCAACATCAGTACCTGACCTCTCAAATGTTCTTAAGGTGAATGGCCACAATTTCCCAGAGAAACACTCCAAAAACTTGTGGAACATCTTCTCTGCAAAGTGGAGGCTTTTATAGCCTGAAAGGGGGCCAACTCCATATTAATGCCTGTGGTTTTGGAATGTGATGTCCATCAGGCTCATATGGATGTGATGGTCAAGTGTAGATAAACATTTGGTCATGTATTGTATACGGCATGGTTGCATTGATGGCTCTATACCAATTTGCATTCTGTCAAAGTCATCTAGCAAATACCTTTACTCAGGGTGGGGACAAGAGGTGGGCAGAAGGGGTGGCTGCCCTGGGCACTGTGGTATCATGTGATGTGGGGCTGCAAGTAGATTGGGGGGAGGGGATTTGTGTTTTTGGGGCTCAGTGGGGGGGGGGGTAAGAATTGTTCTAGGAGCATCAAGGGCGGACTGACAACTCATGGGGCCCCCGGGCAATAGGGGATCATGGGGCCCCTGTGTCCTTGCCCACACTAAAACCATACCCAAAAAAGCCTATGAAAGGTACCAGTTGAATCTTATGGGGCCCCCTACTGACCCTGGGCCCTCGGGCAGTGCCTGAGTTCCCAAATGGTCAGTCTGCCCCTGAGGAGGGTTAATTTGGGGGGGAGGGTGCTAGAAGTGGTGATTTGGGGGAATTTGTGTTAAGAGGGGGCATGGGGGAAGAGGATTTGTGCTAGGAGGGTTGAGTGGGGGGGCTTGTGCTAGAAGAGGTGAAATGGTAGGAGGGAGAAGGATTTGTTCAGGGAGGGAGATTTCAGTGGGCGAGGGGCAATTTATGCTTAAGAATGCAGATTAGATTAGGGGGTTGCTGACACATAATGCTCATACTGGCGGGGGGGGGAGGGGACAATTTGGCATGTTCACCTTGGGCTCTAGCTGACTGACCTTGTCCTGGCACTGTCTTTACTGGCCTAATGGACAGTTCTACTGTAGTGACATAGGGGTTGGCAGGAATAATCACTGAATGCAGCAGGAGACAGGAAACTGACATTCCCCAAAATTTTGAGTTGTTGAAGAGACTTAGGTTGACAATTAGATTTTTTATTGGGAGCAGAGGAGGTAAGTATTCACCTTTTT